AATTTTTAAATGTTTTGAACTTGCATATTTTACTCATGATTGTGCACAAAATTTATTCCATTTAAAATAAAACCATAGTGGTTAAGTGAGATTTGTGCTGAAATAAAAGTGATATAAAAACAATCCCTAAATTGTAAGTTTGCAAACTGCCACTGTCCGCTTCATTTAATAAATAAAAATTGCTCAAAGAATCATTGAATGAATATAATTTCTTGTGTTGTACTGTTGTAAAGCCCGTGTTTGGATCGGCCTATTAGTGTGCGTGCTTTAATCACCTCCAAGGATGGTGGGGGTCCCCCATCTCTAGCCCTGTTACTTTGAGGGTCATGGGATGAAAAGTTTGGTAACCTCTGCTTCAGGCAATATGTACTTTATGTGTTTGATTGTTTTTGTTGTTGAATCTATGTGTTGCTGTTATTCTTTGTCAGGTCTCCCCTGAAGAGATCTCAATCGGACTAACCTGGTTAAGAAATCTATAATTAATAAAAACACAAAGTTCAAACTAAAATACGGCGATATAACAGTACAACAGTCGTTTAGCTTTTCAGCTTGAGCATGACAGCAGAGGAACAATGGGCTATGAAGCGACAAGCTGACAGGATGTGAATAGGAAAGCACAGGGATATTTATTGCAGAATGGCAGATGAGGTCAGGTAAGAATGGTGGGAATGTGGACATAAGGATGTGCAAGTTAGTAGTTGCTAATGTCCCCCCCCCCTAGTGTAGTTGTGTTAATAATTAAAAAAAACAACAACAAAAAAGTAATAATCTTGAGGTTTTCCTGCTCCAAATGACATTTCAGCACCATGGACAGCTTAAGAATACTATTATCCATTTGAATAATCAACATCTACAGAAAGATACCATGAGGGTATTTTCAGTCTTAAAGACACATAAAAAAAAGAAAGTAACCTCATTCTTATATCTCATTATAAAAGTTATCTGCTACATTTGATACATTTTATAGGCATCTCATTGCCTCTGTATAGTCTTAGAAATAATGATTTGCATAAAAATTACAAATTAAAAATTAGTTATTTTTGGCTGCATTCTGAGCTCTGGGTGTCATGGCTTCAAATATCGACATGTCTGGTCCAGCTCTCCATCCAACTCGGTTTATAATTGATGCTCGTGTGGGGAGACTTGCAGTCTTGTTCAGGGCGGGGGTAAAAAATCTCAAAATAAAACATGCCATCTCCCCAATCCTCACCCAAACCGACCAACGCAACCCCTTCACCCCAAACGCCACAACCCCAAACGCTCATAAGCCCCACCCCTCTCTCCTTGCCAGCTGAATTAATTTGATACTATTTTTGAAAGTCAGTGTTTCTAAGGGAAACCTAATGACGCAATGACGTCAATGCAGGTCAATAGCACACTGCTGGAGAAGAGGAGCTGGGAGAGAGGGAGAGACGGATAGAGAGACGAACACACAGAGATGGAGAGAGAGGAGGAAAAGAGAGAAAGAGGGGTGTCTGCAGGTCTTGTCGTCCAGACATTTTGCAAAGCTTTTCCCTGTGTTGTGACATGTAGATTCTCTCCTCCTGGTTATTTGTTTTATTATTAGTTCCCAATCAGTTTGTTTTTTATCGAGCTCTTTTGGTGGGGCTCTGGTTCTACGGCTCTGGTTCTCTCTTTATGTATAAAGTGCGCCAGACTTATTCGGATCCCGGCGGGGTTTCGAGCCAATAATAGCGCGAACTCTCAGTCGTGCTTCACCTGTCCCATTCATGCTTTCCCTCTCTGTCTGGCAGTCAGACACACACACACACACACACACACACACACACACACACACACACACACACACACACACGGTCAGAGAGATAAAAAGAGAGAGTGTGTATGCGATGAAGTGAATCGTGTATCGCGCCTGCCCAATTGCGTAAAGTCCCTCTGATTTGGCGGGCTCTTTCTATCAGCTGGCTCACATTTGTAACTCAATGTCCCCCCTCCTATTTCCCTCTCCAACCAACGCCACCGCCACCTTTCCACTCACAACCCGTCACCCCTCCCAGCACCACCACCCAAACCAAACCCACCTTTCCCTTTGAGCTGGCTCCCTGAATCCTGAATGGCTCCAACACCAAATATTTGAGTCTCCGAGAGAGAACAGAGACGACGCACACCGGACTGACCTGCTTTCTCCCCCTGACGCAGGAGCGCAGACTGTATCTGCCCTGCTTTTCACTCTTTGTGTCCTCTGTCTCTGGCAGGCTGCACTAAGCTCTTCTTACATGGAAAGAGTTTAAAAAGAGAGAGAAACCCTAAATGAAAAGGTAAGTGGTTTATATTTTGGATGGCGTAAATCCTGACTGTGATGTAGTCGTGAGGGAAGTTTACAGTCATACCATGCGGAGATATTTTGGGACTCGGAGTCTTGGTGATTACTGGTTGATGTGAAGTCTAGGGCAGTAGCACTCTCTGGAGAAGGAATGTAGTGACGATGAGTGAGGTTACCCGCCGTTTCTAGTCTGAATGCATCATTCTGACTCAATGATCTACATTATGTGAGCAAACAGCATTTCGTTTTTGTGAACCTGTAGCTGCAAAACGTGGATTCCTCCCGTATAGAAACCTGAAAACTAAGCTTAGAATTAAACGTGTTTCTTGACTGCTTCTCGGGAAGACTTTATTCAGGTTCATCGCAGGGCATGCTGCTGTTGTCACGCATTACGTTTGGGGACGGTCAGACTACGCAGTTCACGTACATGGAACTGTACACAGTTTTCAAGGTTTTTGTTTTTGCTTGTGCGTGTGTGAATATTGACATCGTAGGGGATTTTGCAGACACTTAAAGAGAGCGGGCTGCAGTAATGCGTGGGAGGATTCACGTGTTGGGGATCCTCTGCTTCAGACTGCCTCCTCTGCTGAGATGCCTAGTAACAAGTAAGAGAGAGACACGAAGAGAGGGAAACTTTGGGAAAATGTCATTTTCTGACACTGCTATCCATCTAACTATCCTGTTTATCAGCTATGTGTTACGACTGGCTGATTAAGCCACATTGGTTTATGTCTGCCAGAAAAGCAAATGAGGATCAGATAGACAGAGAGAGATAGAGAGAGAAAGCCCCACATCACCTTACTTGTGCATATTTGTTTTAAACAAAGCTCTGCTTAGAGTTAAGGCGCCTTAAATTCACTTGTAAACAACTTCCCGCAGCGGACTTGCGTCAATCCACACGTGTTACCTCAGACTTTCATGTCATCGAGTTTTTTGTCTAGGCAGCGGTGTAGCCTAACTGCATTTGCAAATCGTGCCGGTTCTTTAACTCAGTCTAAAGAAGAGTGTTGTGCAAATTGCGGCGGCTCCTCCATACCTGCAGGGAGGAGGGATGACAAACTGAGCAGTTCAGCACCATGGACAGCGCCTAGTGTTTATTTTAGACAAGTTCAGAACGGAAATCAGCTTCCTTCGTGTTATGTCAATGTTAATGTGTTTTTTTTTTAGTAATAAGTAGTAATCTGTTAGTAAGTTAAGTTTATCAAATGTACTTTTTTAGAAGTTGCACAACAGGTGGTTTCATCCAGACCTATTTAAAAACAAATCATGTATTAAAAATGAACAGTAGTAGGCCTATTCAAATTCTTTCAAAGTAATGTTGGTATATGTGGCTGATATCACCCTTTCCGGCTTTGACTTCTTATAACAGGTGGTTGTTTTAAAAAGAGGAAACCATCTCACCTGTCCTAACTAAGCTGTTGTGACGATGAGAGCTGCAACGTTTTCTGGTCGTTGTATGATGGAGTCAGACAAAGAAGAAGTCTGCTGCGGCTTGCATTTTGCAGGAGTCAGGAGTGCATACTTTTTTTTCGGGGTGGTGGGGGCTGGAGGTGGAGGGGGGGGGGGGGTATCTATAGCATAAGAAGTATCTCTGGCTGAGTTTGTCGACACCACGCGGTGATCTTGGTACACCGCACTGAGGAATCTCGGCTGCATCTCCCATTGATAGTGCTCCCTCTTTGATTCAATGATTGTTGAATACTGAGAACTATATGTGGAGGATGTGTGTGTGTGTGTGTGTGTGTGTGTGTGTGTGTCTTTGCATGTTTACTTATGTTGGTTTGTGAGAGATACTGGACTACTGTTGTCGTACTTTGGCTTGATTTGGTGATAAAAACGGAGAGCCAGACTTTAACATATTGCCAAATATCCAGAGTTTATAATTGATAGTTGTGTCTTTTGAACTATTCGTTGATTTCTTAAGCTGAATTTGATGTGCAGGTGAAATGCTAACTCGCTGTGTGTCTGTTCCCATACATGCTCTCGCCAGCAGTCACGGACATACAGTTGGCCTACAGGCAGGGATAAAAATAGCACAAACCGATGCGACGGGCGCAGCCCTTTTCCCTTCCTCAGAGCCGACTTTTCTATGTAACTGCCACTCAGTGAACACTCATCACCTCTATCTCTAAATCCCCCCTTAGCCCACCCCATCCCATGCCTCAAAGTCTCGTGAATCTCCACGCGGCATGAGTGCAGATGGACGGCGTGGGGGTGTGTTGAGGGTCTCACAATAAAGGTGTTAGCAGATATTGGAAGAGTGGTGGGTTGAGAGACTGAGCATACTGTGGAGGGAGGTTTGTTTGTGCGCCTTTGCACGGACCAGTGTGAGCTCCCCGTGGGTCTATTCCGTGGGTGAGCGGGGTCTGGTGCGTGGGCACGGACTGTGAACATAGGAGATGGAGGAGAAAGCGGTTCAGTTCGCTGTGTTTTCCCCTCCTTCGGTTGCCAGATTTAGCGTTTTGCCCGCCAAATGCACTGGATGCTGGGATAAAAATTCTCCAAGACCAAAACGGCACTGACGCTTGGTGGGGGGAGATATAGAGACAGAGAGAGGAGGGAGGGTGGGAGGGAGAGAGAGAGGGAGGGAGGGGGGATGCTGGATGGAAACCCAGATGCTCCAGCATTAGAGGAGGGTTTTTTACCATGGAGATAACCTTCTCCAAAGCTGCACTTTCCACGAGTCCACATCACATTACCCACCTGTAATATTTTCCTATTTTGTCACTCATTTTTTCCACGGCACATTTGTGGCGAGCTCATCACACAGCGGCTCTGTCTTTAATATGGCTCTACGGGCTGTAAAGTGAGAGAATCTGAACGTGACGTCAATGCCTAGTAACTGACGCAGCCCTTCAACAAAAAAAAAGCATTTTATTTATTATTTTGCTTCTTCTCGTCAGCACAGCTTTATTACTAAATTTTACAGGGCTCCGTCGACTAAAACAAAACGGAAAGTCTGCCAGGGTGCGTCGGTGAATCCGCGTTTATCAGAATTTGGATCTATTTTGCGTTCATGAGTTTTGGCTGCTGAAGTGACACTGGGACGAGAAGCTTCTGAGGAGGGCGACAAGACATCAAATATTGTCGATGGTATTGGCATCGACGACCACCTCCAAATTTTAAGTTGCTCAGGGTGAAAGAAGTGTGTTTTTCCATGAGGCGAGGAGGTGCTGGTGCTGTTGGAGGCCCATCAGGTTCCAAAAAAAAAAAAAAAATCACTGCAATGATGCAACGGAGGGGAATCGTGGTTCTTGTGCAGAGTTGGAGAGGCAAAATTAATTTATATTACATGCACCTCACGTAACGTTCCTAAGCGATGCCTTTTGTGAGTGTTTTCCCCCTTCCTCGTACTGTGACCTAAAAATAGCATCATAGTTTTGATCGCGCGCCAGAAATAGACAGACGGGTATCACTTGTATAAAAAAGGAGGCGATCCTGAGCAAACTTGGACGTGCCACTGTAAGCCTACATAATAACACATGGTGGACTTAATCTGTTGCATTTCTTCCACTCTCTTGTTGCGGTTTCCAACTAGGCTCTCATCTTTCTCTGTGCTTTCTCTTTCTGCAGGTTAGAGCCAGGATATGCCTGCACCACGGTGAGTGAGACATTTATGTGATGTTTAACGTAGTGTACTTTTTGTGTATTTGGTAATGCATGCTCCGTAGTGCCTGTGCGGTTGCTCTTCTAATTCTGCCTCCTCCTCTGTCTTATGCACGCAAAGACATGACTCCTGTTCGTAGGTACGGATATTATTGGCATGCTGTAAAACCGAAGCACAGAGCAACCCTTCCTGCAGAGTAGGAATCACCCCCTTTGGTAAATAAGCAAGAGCAAAAAACTCCCTTTGTCTGTTGGCGCTGTTGAGTCTCTACCACATATTTATTTTTCCCTCCCCTCTCTCTGCTTAACCGCGAAAGCGAGGGGAACCCTTCTCTGGTGAGCGCTTAAGGACGCCTTTCCCTCCGTTTTTCTTCTTTTTTAAGAGGAGTCAGACTGACAGAGACGTGGCGTTGGAGGAGGAAGAGGAGGAGAGGAGGGAGTGGAGAAGTGAAGGAGCTGTTGCTGCAGCAGAGACCAGGCGCACCGCATGGGGAAACCCGGGAGCTGTCCAGCAGCAATGGTGCTGAAACCACACCAAGTGGCGGTAGTGGGCTGTTGCTGGAAGTGGTGTGTGTTGCTGTGTGTGTTTGTGTGCATGTGTGTTTGTGTAGGGGGTGTCTGGTGTTGTTCTTGGCAGCTAAAAGCTTTATTTACTCCTTTTTTGGAAACCAGCAGCTTCTATTCAGAGTGAATCCTCCTTCCTGGAGCGACGTTGGAGGAGAAATACTGAAGCTCCCCCGCCTCCAGTAATCCGCCTCTCCTCACTGAGGGGACACTTTTGGCTCGAAAATACATTTTAAGAGCGTTTTCCCGCCTGTGCAGTTTAAGCGGCCTCATAGGACGCAATAGGTAGAGAAAGAAAGAGAGAGAGAGCCATTCCGTCTTGGTTCTGCTCTCCTGCTCACGTCAGTACCGACATTTACCTCGTTCCAGTCCAATCCAAGAAGCCTTTAATCTGAATTTTATTTCAAATCCCGACTTTTTAAAGCGAAACTTTGCGACCGAACACACCGAATAGTTCAGCAAGTGTCAAGTTTGCAGCTTGCTTGCGAAATAGCTCAGCGTTTGAGTTCTGCGAGACTCGCCTAACTTCAATGCTATTAAGAGCTGTAACTTTGTGTCCTATAGCGACGAAGAGGGCGCACGAGAGGCGAAATGAGCGCCACTATAATAAGCTCTTAGCTACTAGAAAGAGTTTGAAAGAAGCATTCCCTTTTATGAAGGTATCAGTGTTGAATTAGCGACCCGGACCGGCGAGATGATGAACAGGCTTCAGGCGTCTGCACAGACCTGCAGACCCACTGGGACACGATAACCACGCTCAATTCCATCCATGTCAGTGCACGACTTTGGTTATGTTTCCTTCGTATTTTGACTGCAGGCTACGAGGCTAAAAATACCCACATCGACCACTTATCTTTGTCATGCAAAATCACGGTTGTACCTCACCTGAGATGCATTCCTCCACCTCCCAAAAAAACAACACATCTGCAAGTCTTCGTCGGGCAAAACGCGCAAATATCGACTCAAGGGGCCATATTTTGCTCAATTATTGAAAACCGATCGAGTAATTTCGACGAAAACAACGCGGATTCCCGAGTCGTGACTGCTAAAGTGAGTAATGTGCGCGTTGGCTGCGTCAGGAGAGGCAGTCACTGTGCAGTGCAGACGGTGGGGGAGAATCGTGACTGACTGGGTTGCAAATGAAAAGACCACCCAATAAAAATGCCCACAGCAGGAGGGGGGGGGGGTGAAAAAGGGGTGGGGGTCTTGGGGTCTGGAGTTGGCTTCAGACTCCGCGTATGCACTAAACATCACCCCGAAAAAAACTCCCCCTTCCTCAAACCCAAACATCTCCTTTCTCCCCTCCAAAGCTTGTTTTCAGTGTGAGACCCTCTCCTCCCGCGCATGCTGGCAGCCAACTTGAATGCAGACGAGTTTCATCAGTGATAGTGGAGAGAGAGAGATAGAGAGAGAGAGAGAGAGAGAGAGGAGCAGAAGGAGAGGGAGGAATGGAAGAGGGGAGGGGGGCATGTGTTGGTTCGGGATCAAACCTGATACAAACAAGGGGGGAGCAGAGAGATATAGAGGGGGTCCAGATCCAGATCGTGACCCGGCCTTCAGCTCGGTACAGTAACTTGCAGCTTTATGGAGGGGAGGTTTGGAGTGTTTAAGGGGGGTTAGATATAAAAATTGCTTCTGAAAAAGTAATGGAACTGTTGCAGTAGAAAAAAAAAAAAAAATCAGGTAAGTTATTTTTAATTTTGATCATAACTTTGCATAAAAACAAACCCAACAAACATTAAAGATTGTTTGAACTCCGAGCGTGCGAGAACGAGTGGTCGTGATTAACCCTTTAACTCTTGATGTGATTATATGCAATGTGTTGTTGTGTTGTCAAGTTGTACATTATTGCCGTAGAAATGCTGTAAACTGCAGAATATCGCAATGTGGATGTCATATTCTTCTTCTTCTTCTTCAAAAAAAAAATCCTGCTGTAAACGACTGAGCTTCGCGGCTCCGGACTGAGTTGACAGTCCGGAGACCCCCGCGTGTTTTTTCTCAGTGGTACCCTCCAGTGAACTCTATAGGTGACCATGAGTCGCCTCAGATGCTTCTTTCTTGCTTACGTTGTGATGCGATGTGGAGGGCTGAGCGACGCGTTCCCACACTCTGTCGACAAGCAAATGTTATTTTCATTCTCACATTTTTGTTGCTCGCTGTTTGCATCCCCCATCCTTTTAATGTCGCTCGTAGCTGGCGCGTGAGGAAATGAAAAAAAAAGGGGCGTTACTTGTGATCATGTGAAAAATTCTCATACTTGCTTCCAGATAGCTTGTTTATTATTCTTGTCATCATGATGTAGGCACTAAAAAACCTCTAGCGTGACGGACAGTTTCGCATCCTACAAAAATAGATGGGGGAAGGAGAAAAGCTCATGCATATAAACAAATAGCTGCATCAGATGTTCACATCCCCACATCAATGCATATAAGTATACACTTTCTCTGGTATAGATCACAATTTGGTTAGCCCTGTCTATTCTTTTTTTTTTTCAAAAAGGGGGGTCCCTATATGAGCAAGACACCGATTGGTTGATGACGAGGTTCGCTTTCTCCAATAAGATCCCTCCCTGCTCTCTATTTATTGCCAGCAGTTTACAGCCTTGCTCTCTCCTCACCCAGAGCTCTGGAGCGGCTGCAGAGAGACAGAGCTTCACTATACACGGAGACACAGCACGGACCAGGGGATATAATACAGATAGAGAGAGAGAGAGAAAGAGAGAGAGAGAGAGTGCACTGACAACAAAACGCATCGATGCACAGCTCCCAGTGATCACACGGGCTCTGCACATCCGAGTGTTTGGATAAAAAAAGAAAAGGAGAAACAGAGAGACAGGGAGAGGGGAAAGGGAGATGAGTAAGGAATGGTTGAAGGAGGAGATAGAGGAGATAGAGGAGAATTCAAACTGAGGAAGGAGTGGGGATTCAAAACGAAAGGACCTTGGACAGCTCTCAGTTGCAGCAGCAGCCTTGGCATCCGGAGACCCCCTCCTTTTTTCTCTCTTTCTCCATTTCTCTTCTTCCTTCATCCATCCTCTCTCCTCTCCTACGAGTGAATGCTTGTGTGTGTGTGTGTGTGTGTGTGTGTGTGTGTGTGTGTGTGTGTGTGTGTGTGTGTGTGTGTGTGTGTGTGTTTGAGGGAAACACACTCGCCTCGGGTTGCCGATGACTGGAGATACAATCAGCCGAGCTGGGATGGGAGATAAATCCACGGGAGCGCGAGGAGAGCAGACTCTCCGGGTGTCACGGAGTCTCCGCCGGACGACAGCAGCAAATAATGTCCTTCACGAATCTTTTTGCGGTCTGGGCTTGCTGTTCATAACTATTAATCTGGGAAGCCCTTACCCCAAAAAGCATTTGCGGAGGGCGCAATCACCGCGCCGAGGCATCGACATCGGAAGACGGCTCCACTCCAGGAATTTTACAATCTTTTTTTTTCTTCTTTTTTCTGCTCGAATTTTCTTTATGCATTATTATTGTTACCATTTCCTCTTTTTATTTTCCCATTGCCACAGTTGTGGCTTTTATGTCTCGGTTGATTTTCAGCCCTTACGTGTGTCAATTTTTTTTAGTCAACAGTTTTCTTCTTTGGCAGAAATGAGACGAAGCTCTGCAGCCACGTCGCACCCAAGTTTTGCTCACACTCTTGCGTGCCTCGGTATCCTGAAGTAATATCTTTTTTTGTATGTTTGTCAACAAACATGTTGCCGAACACAAAACTTTGAGTCATGCAACATTAAGTCATATTTTCAGCCAAACACTCCCCCCCCGCAAAACAAAATCTTTCCCGCCCCCCGTCTCACACTGAACATTTGACAGCCCCCCCCCCCCCACCACCCCCCACCACCAGCAGAAAAGAGAGAGAGAGAGAGTAAACACGGGGAGACCCTTGCAATGCACAAGTTACACGTGGGCAAAACAGTGGAGGGAGGTGTGTGCGTGTGTGCGCGTCTTTTGGGTGGGGTGCCACATTTATTGGGCGTCACTGAGCCCCTAATCCCCCTTTAAAAGATAATAATAATAAGGGGAACATGAGGGAAACACGCTCCCTTAAAACACGCTTGCACACACACACACACACACACACACACACACACACACACACACACACACACACACACACACACACACTCACACCTCTGTAAGCAAAATGCATATGCAAAGGGATTCCCCAGCAAGGCCATGTAAAAGCCCAGATTAGCAGATGGAAAGGTATAAGCAACATCTGCAATAGCTGACCGTGCAGTGTGTGTGTCCTCCGTGAGACTATCCTCTCAGCCTCCCCTTTCACACACATACTGTGACAAACTAACACGTGTCTCCCTCCCCGTTTTGTGAATAGAAGTTATCCACCTCAAACATCAGCCCACCAATGTTCCTTACTTCCCCACGTGGAACACACAGAGACCCGGACATGGCCACGTCCTCCCAGTCTGACCCACCAGAGCCGAAACAGAAATAAAAACTGAGAGAGACAAAAACATCAATGTGAATAAGAAGTGATGCGTACACGCATAGTGCTCAAAATGATGAAAATAAAAGCCGGGGATGAGCACTTTCTTTCTTGAAAGACAGAGTAAAAATAGCTGAAGAAGATGCAACTCAGTTTGGCCTCAAGAAGAAAAGCACCTGCAACTTTACGCAAAGTTTTTCCTCTTCTGTCCCGCCACTCTTGAAGGCAGCATCAGTCTTTAAATGTATAAATAATGCCAAATAAACTTGTAAAATGAGCCCAAGCAGAAGCCAGGTTTAGTCCTGATCATAAATGAGTTGTATAATGACATATAAGGCCCTTTGCTGCAAGACGCGCAAGTTACGCGCCAAAAGCTTGGCAAGAAAATCCATTGTCAGGGCGTAAAAAGTGACGTCACCAAGCAGAAAATGACGCAATTTAGTCTAAATAAAACCGTCTGCACGGTCTCTGGACGATGACGTAGATATCTAAAAGGGAAGCGTAACAGTTCTGAAAAAGTTCAGGACAGTAGCCAGCACGATGACACACCTTGCTTGAATAAATCCCATGGCCTCTGCAATTTCGGGGAGTGGCGTGTGGCACACCATCTGATCAAATCATAGAGATGATAGTGAAATGATGCGCTTGACGATTCAGATGATGCCCCGTTCCTGTCTGTCATACTGGGAAAAAATACTTTTATGAGATTACCAACGCAGCCTGAGACCTTGGTTAAACCAGGGCACATATGCTATAAATAACACAAAAATGCACACCTGTAAACGACAGAATACAATTATGTGACGTAATTTTCTTTGAATAGACACAATGTGACCTTTGACATCAGAAGAGGCCTCGTGTTTCTCCTTTTTCCGATGACAAAAGCCACACTTTTACGCAATATACATGGGTCTGTTTTGTTCGGAGATGTAATTGGAGCTAAACTAGCCCTTTAATCTAAAAAGTGACATAATTTTAGAAGTTTCCCGTATTGAGTGATACACGTCCAATACATAAAAACGGAGACTTTACTGTTAACATGTGACCGTGTGGCGAAATCTGACATCCACCTGCTCGGTTCATAAAGTTCCTCAATGTCCTCTCCAAATCGACATGCAGTGTCTCCTTCGGGGTCGTGTGGCTATGCAGACTAACTTTATAGACTGTTATATCTCACAGTTCGTGTCCTGCCTTTCTGTCTTGCAGGAGGGACAACGAGCAGTAGAGCAAAGGTGGAAATGAGGATAGTCGTGCGCCTGGCCGGACTGTGCTGCAGCTGCAGTGGGAGCAGCCAGATGTGCGCTGGAGAAGATAAAGGGGGTACCCACGTTTTGGATGTTTTTCACCGAGGAGCGCAGACAGAGACAACGACAGACTCCAAACTCCTTCCTTGTCTTCCCCCTCTTTCTCAACACATGACAGGTAACTGCACGGCCTGAGATGTGTTAGACGATATGGATGACGTCAAATCCAAATCACGTTTTGAATTGCATTTTGCGTGAGGCTCGTTTTGACTGCTCGGTGCTTGTGAGAAGGTTTTGTGTTAGCACAGAGGCCGGTAGTGCTGGATTGTGCTGGATTCTTCTCTTATTTCACATCATTGTTGACTTAAAATGATGCATACACACATTACTTTGTCGCCTTTATCTTGGCCAGCTGTACTAAACGCAGAGGAGATTCAGTGTAGGTGAAATGTGTTGTCAAACACACCTAAAAACGCTGCGTAAAAGTAGAAAGCTGTTTTAAAGAAAACTCTTTTACAAAAGTTTTGTAATATTCCAATTGTATATCTACAGGACAGTTTTGGGACATGCATTTCAGTCTTTATAGTTTGCTTAGTACTCCACATGTCCTGTTATGCATTCTTTTTGATTACGATTTAACTTCCATGTATGAGATGAAGCTATTCTGTGTGTTTGTCATCCGGACATTTGAGTCGCTCTTCTTTATCCTCCACACGCAAATTTCAACGGTTCATATCCATAAATATGTAACAATTTGTTCTTAAAATGTTCAGAAACTGACACCCAGGCCTTACCTTTCCAAATTATTGTTGTAATTGTCACGTCCGAAACAAAACACTCGTCTGGCTGCAGTTAAACTTGGAAAACCCAAACTTATGTTGGTTCAACCTTCACGCGCATCTTTTCCCCCCGGTAATTAAAGTTAGTGTAGATAGAAAACTTTATGATCACGAAGTTATCAAATGTATATGTTAATGGATGACATTTAAACAGTTAAGAGCGTGCATGTATATAAGAAACAGCTGACTGCACCTTCTTCGGTAATCCTGTTGTTTTTTGCACCATGCACGAGCTGTAAAGTCCCCTCCCCAATACCTGCGTTGTCACCTCTCGGTGTGAGTCATAATTGAAAAGGCAGGTCAGGCAACGTCCCGCTGTCACGTCACATACAGCAGTCCTTGAAATAGTAGTTACCGGTATGAGAAGAAGGGGAACGAGTCACGACCCGTAGCAGAAATACAGGCCCCAAAAATGTCTGCATTAAATTAACACAGTGCTCCCATATTCTCTAGGGTTTATAACCACAGTTATTATTATTCCACCATAAATAAAAAACAGATATAAATCATACATTTATGGCAAATATGATCGTGTTCATGTGAGTTACATTGTCTGAAGGGTCAAAAGGTCCCCCGACCTTCCTGACTGATGACATTTGATTAGCACTGATTGGCATCCCTGTTTCAAAGTGTGCGATGGTGCATTCAGGTTCTTCTCCTGTTTAAGACAGTAAGGGGCTGCTATGGATGTTTGAGTGTGTGTCTGTCTGTTTGAGTGTGTTCAGTTTAAAGGAAATCCCACAGTTAACATCCTAAAAAAAGCACATTTCTTTAAATTGTTCCGTGAAAGGTAGTGTAACACTTTGTCTTTGTTATATACTACAAATGAGCATTTTTCACTACATATCAAAATCACAAGTTAGCTCTATAGGGCCATTTCACAAATGACCAAGGCTCAAGTTTCATTTATTTATTTGCATTTAGTTTTTTGGTAGTCTTTGGTTTATCACCAGGAAAAACATCTTGTCACATCTCTTGTGATACGTGCTGTATCCATGCAGATATTTGGGGGTTATTTGTGCAGTCTTTGAAATTTTCCTTGCTGATATTTTTGCCGCCACACAGTTACATAGAAGGTGAATGGAGTTTAGTTTGGTGCTCACAGGTTTGAAAAATCATATTTGAAAAGACCATGTTTATCTGGATAATACAAAAAAAAAACAGTGCAGTGAAAGTTGCTCAAAGGAGAGCTGTTGACAGGGAGGTCTGTTTGTGGTCCAGAGCAACACAAACTCCTCAAAAATACAATATGTTCTTGTTAAATTTTCTAAATGTAATTTTTCCTAATGATGTGAGCAAAAAAAATCTTTAAGAGGGATCATACGTCTTTGACAAATTAAACCAAAGTTTTTGAAGAGAGTAGAAAAGGTGTTATGAGGATTTATATTTGTTAAGAATTTGTGTGAAATAACCCTTTAACTCTGCCTGAAAAGTAGCTCAAATTAGTCCTTAAAATGATCATGAATACAGATCAATTTGGAGTTTTGTAAACATTTTAGACTTATCTTTGAAAGTTTGTGTTTTAAAATGTGTTAAATCACAAAACAGAAGTTAAGATTGTTGTGGATTCACAATTTATCATTGTAATTGCATTATTTCAAAACCCTGTGATGTCATTCACTGTTGTCAGGATTGTTTACTCTCTCTGATCTCCATCTCGTCATTCTCCATCCTTTTTTTACCGTGATGCTTGTGTGTCACTCCCTGCCTCAGCTCTGAGCACACTTACATTTTGGTTTTTGACAACAAAGCAGAATGGTTCAATGCTACAATTTATTTATATTGCACTTTTTTAAAACACAGCACAGTGTGAAAGGCCTTCACATGATTACAGATTGAGGACACAACCACACATACACACATACTGTATATACCAACATAAACCACGATTAAGATGCACAGACAGACAGAACATTAGTGCAAGTGGGATGCAAAATAGAGGTAGAAGTATCAAAAAGGGGGAAATGTGTGGTGTGTATTTTGTATCATACATTTAAATCTATGGATATTTTAGTAAGGATAGAATAAAGTGTATTGTATCGGACTGTTACATACCACGCCGTACCATATGTATCGTATCATAATACTGTGGCATTATTTAAAAGTCTGCTAACCATCAAACAGTGTGTAAATTGTTATTTTAAAAAAATGCAGTTTGGCTGTTTTATGTTTCGCTCTCGATAAACTAACCCGCCGTTAAAATTCAGAAACACGTTGACATAGTTAAAGATATGATGATCCAGTGCTCACAACAACTCCTGACAGCTGATTACTTCACTTCTCTGTCGCTCTATTATTAACCAGGTTGGTCCCATTGACATTAAGAACATCTTTTTAAAGGGAGACCTGGTCGAGAGAGTCAGCAGAAAAAACAAAAAGTTACAGACGGAGACACAAAGAGAGACACTTAAGAGAGAGACAAGTACAATTAACAAAAAAAGACATTTTGCATTAAAATAGAAAAATCTACGAGTCAAATCTGGGAGCCAGTAGTTCAATCTGTCGAGGTAAAAACACAGATATCTTGTAAAGTCTGCTTCCACGTCTTTCATTATAGATTTAAAAACATTTAAGGACATCAGCTCCTTGAGTTTGAAGTCATTCTGCAACAGATTCCAGGCTGAGGGTGCAGAATATCCAAAAGCCCTTTCCCTCAATTTCTGTCCGAGTGTTTGGGACGGAGAGCATAAAGACGTCCTGAGAACGCAAAGAATACTGTCCAAGACTTTTCTGCATTTGTCTAAATATCTCTGTACATACAGTTCACACCATCACACGTGTCATGCAGTGTGTTTTATCTGTCCTGACCTCACCCTACCTGCCCATGTGGGATAATCTATGGCATCTTCTTAAATAACCAATGACAGTAAAGTATGTTGTTTAGCACGAGCTACCTGTCACAGTGTTATGTAACTTTAAAAAGAGAGACGAGGAGCTTTGAAGACGTAGGCTTCAAGTTACAAACAAATGTGACAATACTACACAGTGTGTGCTGAATTTGAGCCTTTTACCCGGAGTTGAAAATATTCATTTCATGACCTTAACCTTTGTCCCATTAAGAGTGACATCACTTTAACTGAGACAGTCACAGTGTGCAAATGGCCTAGCGGTTAGGTCGCACCCCATGTATGGAGTTATAGTCGTCCAAGCAGGCAGTCTGGGTTCAAGTCTGGCCTGGGGCTCCTGCATGTCATTCTCCACTCTCTCTCTCTTACCCTGATTTCCTGCTCTATCCACTGTTCAATTAAAAGCAAAAAAAAAACAAATAAAACTTGTGAAAAAAATAAAATAATAATAACTGAGAAAGTCGTAGCATGACTTTACAGTGATGTTTCTGTTTCCAAATTCAAGTGGTCCATTAACTCCTGGTCCGAGTCCTTTGAGGAATCATCATATATTACATTTTTGAACATAATCAGTCTGATATACACACTCTGGAGCTTTTTATTCTGATTTAATTTCTAATAAATAGGAGAATGAGTTTTTAAGCAAGGGACTTAAAGTTTGCCTTCTTGTATTCTCACAGTGGAGAAAAAAAAAACATGCCGTCCCTTTCAGGTGACACCGCGATGCTGACTGAAGTTATTATAACGCCACCCTCAAGCAGTAATTATCTGTGTGATATTGGGGAGCTTGCTTGTGTCTTTTTTTATTTGTTTTTGTGCTCTGGATCGGGGGCTCCCAGACATTGCTGTGTCAAGGAACCCCGCTGTAGCACTAACCTTTATCTTGGACCCCCCCTCTTGCAAGATTTTTACATTCCCTTGTGCATTATGATGGAAAATATCCAAATTTAAGAGTACAACTTCTCGATTTATTTCCTAATTTTTAATCAATAAATCATCTTATTTATCCATTTAATTGAATGTATTTTTTTTTATAAACAGCTTCTTGTTTTCTGTCTTAACAGCAACCAACAGAAATAGTATAGCAGTCACATTATTATTTAGTGTTTTCTCTCTCTTGATATTCATTCACTACATTCAGCGTGCCTTCCTTCTGTTGCATGTCTTTCTATAGCCACATGTCCGATGTGTGAGCAAGCCACTTAACCCCAAATTTCTCCAGCTGCTTGTAAATGTGATTAGTTACTTTTGATGGTCACTTTACCTAGCAGCCTCATCAGTGTGTGAATGTGTAGGTGTGACCTGCAGTGTAAAAGTGCTTTAAGAGATCAGAAGACTATAGGACTGCACTATACAGGCTCAAGTCCATTTACATGACTCATAGTGGCTGCTCCATTCTGACTGGCCGGAGTGGTATGTGTTCATTTTGTTAATTGGAAGTTTAAAAGGAAGAAAATGGACACATACATTTAGATTTGAAGTGATTAATAACA